ATATATATAAGGTTTTAAAAGGCGAAAATGGAAATTGAGGCGTTTTGTCTAATCGAGGCGATGCGAAAGCCTCAAATCGCATCGAGACGTAAGCCTCGAATTTAACTAAAAAAAATCATAAAAATAACAAATATCCATAAATATGCAACAATAATCAACTCGCAAACTTAGTTCATCACAAAAATCATAAAAAACACAAAATAAGATAGTGCGTGAAGTCTAGAAGTGAGAAATGCGTTAAGTCTTTGTCTTTGTCTAACACTTTTTTTTCTTTTAAATACAACTTTAATCCTTGAGTCTTAGTCTAACACTCTAAACGAAACTAAACATATCAATTCAAGCCTTAGTTAAAAATAACTAATCAGCAATTATAAATAGCTAATTTCGTTTTTGATAACATAAAATACTAATTAAAAATACAAAAAAAAAAAAAAAAAAAAAAAAAAACAAAAATTACAACATAAAAAAAAAAAAAAAAAAAAAAAAAAAAAAAAAACCAGAAATTACAAACTAAACTCAATAAGTATACTATATAGTATTTATAGTTACATATTCATAATAATAATATATACCATAAAACAACCGAATGAAGTTTTATGGATTTCTCGTCCATCTGAAACTTGTTTTTGTACTTTTTCTCTGTTTCAATGAAGTTTTATATTAACCCAAAAACATAACCGAATAAGTAATATATAATATTAATATAACATAGAAAGAATAACAATAAAAAACTAAAAGCATTACCTATAAAGAAAAAGTAAAATAAAAGTTAAAAGCAAGACCAAAAGAGCTTAAATCATTCAGCGGCTAAAAAAAATAGTGGAGAGAGGAGTAAAGCGGGGAAAAAAATTTCAGAAGAGAAAGGTTGCTGGACTACCGCTGAGCAGTCGCCGGACTGCCGCTGCTCCGGTCGTCGCTGCTCAAGTCGTCGGAGAACAAGAAGATGGGGGAGAAGAGGTCGAGATTTTGGGTGCTGGGTGTTAAGATTTGGCCTTTGACGCAGAAGATAGGGTTTCAGAGCTTTATTTTTGTTTTTCTCTCTTCTATTGGGCTGAAACTTTGCAATGGGCTGACTGTCAAAGGAGAAAAAACCATGGAATTTAAAAAAAAATCAGGCCCAATTGCCTGTTTAACTGAGGCTTAAGCCTCAAGGCGTTTACAAAGCATAAGTTCTGCATAGAGTTCTGATAATATAAAGCCTGCTGATTCTGCGTTTAAAATTTGGGTTGAGATGTGATTTTATGTGAAAATTTTTTACTGTAATAAAAAAATTAAATGTGATTATTTATGAAAATTTTTTACTGTAAAAAAACTCAAATTCTAAACTCGAGTAAGCGAAATGAACGGGCCTAAATAACTATTTTGTCCCCCTTCATAGAATTATGCATTTTTCAAAGCATAAGTTTTATAGAGACGATGAATCACCGCAAATCCTAGTGAAAAAAGCAAATGCAAATCCCTTTGAGAAAAATAAATAAAATAAAAACAAAAACAAATGCAAATTAATTCATCAAAAATGAAAATTTCTTGAAAGCCAACTACATCAGAAACTCTAGAAAATTTCTTGAAAATTAATTCATCAAAATCTCTTCTTCTTCTTCTTCAGAAGTTGCACATTCTAGATGAGTGCCATAACTACCGCATTCCCGACACAAATAAGCCCAACAACCCTCCACAAAACTGCAGCATCACATTAGAACTCATCATTTTACCACCATAAGAATTTATATATTAACAGTACTAGTAAAAGTATTCCAACTCAACTTCACCAACTATGAATTATTAACACTTACAAGCTTAATTCAACATAAACACTGATCAAACCTGCCTTGTTTTGAGGCCATTTTTCTCTGGCCAAAATTCCCACTAATAAAAAGGGGGGAAAACATAATTTTTCTTTAGGAAAAAAAAAACCCTCCGTAATTTAAATCCTTAACGTGTTTCTCTTATGGTTTCCAAAGCAGGTTTCCAACCTCTGCAATGTATATAGCCCCTCGGACGACTCAGAAATCCGTTGTGGGGCGAGATATTGGTGTCTTTTGTTTCCCTTTAGGATTTTCAGAAACTCCTAGTAAAATTCACAAAGTGCTTGCTTGACCACTTAATCTTGTTGAGCTCAAAACAGTATTTTCATGAACAGATCATTTCAGACAAACTTTGACTCAGTAAGTAGGACTTCTTATTGAGAAAAAGGAAGAAAAAAAAAAAACCCCCGAGAAAAGGAGAGAAATGGGAAATACCTGAAACGGAGCTGCCGAAGCAAAGAAGAAGAAGAAGACTTCCCGAAGGCCGATCCGCCGAGAAGAAGGAGAAGACTTCCCCAACGCCGAGAAGAAGCAAAGAATAGGGCGGAGATAGTCCAGAGAGTCCAGAGAGATGACGGAGAGAATAGGACGGAGAAGAAGAAAAAGAAGAAGCAAGGCCGCAAGAAGAAGCGGCGGTGGAGCTGTCTGGAGACCGAGCGGCGGCTGAGCTGTCTGGAGAACAGGAGAAGGAGATAGCGGCGTGTGAAAATGAGATTAGAAAATAAGTAGAAAAGGAAAACCTAGCTTCAGAAGAAATGAAAAAAAAAGTATATATTATTAAGTCGGTAATTGGCACTGTTAATCTCTAAATTTTTTAGTAAGTGATAATTTTATTCTTATTTTTATAATTTTAATAAAATAATCTCTAAACTCTTTACATAAGGACAGTTACGTCCTTTCTGTTTATTTCTGTCAAATCTCATACGGAAAAAGTCAGGTGTCCCTCACATGGCGTCTCTTTCATTTTAAAAGACGGTTCAGTTTATTAATTTAAATTTTTAATTTAAATTAAGATGTGATATTATGTGAAAATTTTTTATTGTAATAAAAAAATTAAATGTGATTATTTTTTAAAATTTTTTATTGTAGTAAAATTTGAATTTTAAATTTGAATCAGTGAAAAGAACGGGGCCTTAAATGCCCCCTAAGTCCATTCTGCAGATCGCATGCCAAATAAAACAAAAACAAAACAAAAACAGAAAACCAAATTGAAAAGAGATAGGGGCAATCTACATAGCGATACGACGATACAATTTGAAATTCGTATAAAATTAATGGATTTGAGTTTATCATAAATAAGTCCGTGTTAAAATCAGGTCGAACCCGTGAAACACGATTAAATAACGTGTCATTTTCAGGTTGACCTGTTGACCTGCAATTGACCTATCATAACTCGTTTATTAAACGTGTCATATTTGGATAACACGAATACACAACTCGTTTATTATCCATTTTATAAACAGATTCAAAAGTAAGTTCAGAAATAGGTTAACACAACATATTTATCACCTATTTTATAAGCATGTTCAAAAATAAGTTCAGAAATAGATTAATACAACCCATTTATCACCCATTTTATAAACGGGTTGACAGGTAATTAACGAGTTGACACGACACGTTTATGACTTGTTTAATAAACGGGTTATTCATGTCGTGTCGTGTCAACCCGTCAATATACAAGTCGTGTTTGGGTTTTGTATTTCGACACGATTAATAAACGGGTCGTGTTCGTGTTAGACGTATTCGTGTCAACTGGGGGGGTCAACACGGCACGAACACGACTTGCCAACACGAATTGCCACCCCTAAAAAGAGAGATGCCCACTTTCCTCAACAACATCAACACATGTCCATGGCCATTGGATATCAAGTATCAACTCTTTCTCCTGGTGAATGAGAAAAACCTACTGCAAATCTTTGGAAAAAGAACTACGGCAAATCAAGGGAGACTAAGAGCCACCGCTGTCACCGCACGAGCTTATCGTTGTTGGGAGACCGTCGGTCGAAGCCCTGTCGCATCAAGCCCCTATCTCGCGTTCCTTGTCGCGACCTCACAGGCCGTCGCCATCCATCACCTCCCTCGTGAGCCCAGGAGTCGCCGATCTTGAATATTTGTCACCTAGATATCTCTGAGCCTCCTGCCAATTCAATATCAGACTGTAGCCACCTCCCATCGACCTAAGATCCTCAAAAGGCTGCTATGCATATGCATAAGTTGGTCACTTTCTTGGCCCAAGTATTATTGTTCGAAATTTTCTTATTTGATCCTTAACGTTTGATTGTTGGAGAATTTCTTCTTCACATTGTTCTAATTTGAGTCTAATGGTTTGAATTTCAATATGTTGTTTAGAAATTGTCATCGTTTAATTTGGAATTAGGTTTTTAGGACCCGTTTAATTCGTTGATTTGAGTTTTTAATTCGAATTAAGACGTGATTTTATGTGAGAGCTTTATACTGTAGTAAAAAAGTTGTATTTAATTATTTCTGAGAGTTTTTTACTATAGTAAAAATTGAATTCTAAACTCGAATAAGTGAAATGAACGAATCTTATTTCTTTCCTTTTCAAATTATTTTATTTTTTAATTATTGGTCTGGTAATTTTTTGATCGATCCAATCAAGGCCCTTAGGGCATTTTTGTCTTTTAATTAAAAAAAGAAGGCACATGATGTTCACATGCAGAAATCTATTAAAAATTTGACGAAATTTAATGGAAAGAACCAGATTGCACCTGTTTAAAAATGTTAAGGGTCGTTTTGTTAAAAAATAAATTAAGGATCAAACTGTCACTTACTAAAAATGTTAGGGACCATTTCTGCAAATTACCCTATTAAGTATTAACTATTTTTCCTTAAAAAAATATAATTGTAATTAGGTAATAAACGGATTGTAATTGTGTTGTGTATTCGTATTATTTAAATATGACACGTTTAATAAACATATTATAGCGGGTCAAATGAGGGTTGGCGGGTCAACCTGAAAATGACACATTATTTAATCGTGTTTCACGGGTTCAACCTGATTTTAACCCAAATCTATTTATGATAAATTAAAACCCGTTAATTTCATGCGGGTTTCGAGTCGTGTCGTCGTGTCACTATCTGAATTGCCAACCATACACAAAAGATAGGGTTTCAGAGCTTTATTTTTGTTTTTCTCTCTTTTATTGGATTGAAATGCTGCAATGGGCTGACTATCAAAGGAGAAAAAGCCCCATAATTTTAAAAAAAATCAGGCCCAATTACCTGTTTAACTGAGGCTTAAGCCTGAAACGCCTCAAGGCATAGGCCTCAAATGAACAAGGCCTAAGCCTCACTGGAGGCAATCAAAACGTAGCCTCGAATCCTTAAGTGAGTGCCTCAGTTTAAGGCGTGCCTCAAGGCATATGTTTTTTTAATCCATGCATTAAGCCTCAGTTGATGAATCTGTTTTTTGATAAAAGTTGCTATATGATCAACATGTGTGCTATTAAATATGGAGTTGAAACTTTGGTATTAACGGCGAGTTAAATATATGGATTTTTATGGATAAAAAATAAGCTTATAGTTATTTAAATATCTATAAATATGTATGTAATTTAAGTGTCATATTCGATGACGAAAAGTTTTACAAGATAAAAATTTTAGTTGGTTTAGTTGAATATCCAACTATTCATGCTAGATTATATTTTTGGCAATATCAAAGGATAATGAAAGCTCATGTTATGACTTATGAGGTTGTGTTCTTTTAGTTTTCTTAAAGAAATTATATCTAATAAGATTTAAGGATTTTAATTAAATATTTTAGTTAGATGGATTTTCTTTTAAGAAAATTACGGTCATATAATGAGTTAAGCACTTGCTTTTGCTTTGTTAAGTTATGGACAAGGTTATTAAACTTCAAAGAGTCTTCCTCAACCTTAAACCACGTTTTTCAAAAATAATAGGCCAGATTTTGATTATGAGTCTGCGATTAAGATATAAAAAAGAAACAATATTGATTCCTATTTTTAGAAATTTGTTAACAATTCTAGAGTGTTGTAATACTCTTAAAAGGATTTGTAACGCTCCAATTAACGGAAAAATATTTGCTAAAATTAGGTGAGCAACTAATCATTATGCGTGAATCGAACGAAGTGTAAGAAGCTTATGTTTGGGTTATATTAATGCTTAAGGTAAGTAGAGTACTCACATGTAGCACAAGTGATGCTTACGATTTACTTGTGACCCATGTTTGTTATTCTATGTAAGAATACCATGATCGTTTATGACAATATGAAATGTGAATATAATTATGCCTTATGTACTATTTTTATTGTTTAACATGCTGCTTATGATTTCCATGATTATGAACATGATATGGAAACATTTAACTTCTTTGTGAATGTTTTATGCGCATTTGGTTACAACGAATATGTTGGTTATGCCTGAATGAAAATATCTAATTGTACATGAGCATTAAGGAATGGAAGCATATTTTATAGTGATTATAAGAATGCACATGACGTGGTATACAAAATGTTAATATGCTTAATTTAATTATGTGAGCATCTAAATAACGTACTGATATATGAAATAGCATGGCAAGATAGGGCACGATTTTGTTGGCATGACGTTTGCTTATGAACATTGGCATATAGTAAGATATGATTAGTTTTTCATACCAGTGGGCACTGCTGGTTCGTTAGAAGACCTAATATCATAGTTATAATTTAAATAAGTTTGCTAGATTGACTTTATGCACTTTGATCCTCGATTCTAGATCCGGCGACTCTAGTGGTCATTGGATCTGTGTTTAAGTTACGGTGCCGAATTCCTTGAGCCTTGGCCGGGCAAGAATGGATAAAGCCCCGTGAACACCTACGTTACCGCTTATGTGAATGCCAATGGATTGTCACTCGAGTATTATAAGTCAGCCACATGTAAAACAGTCAACTCGAGATTCGGCCTCGAAGAGGTCCGAAAATGCTAAAATAGTGGCTGGTCGTAAGGGGACCGATTTGGATAGCAACTTTACAGTTTATGGATAACTTTAGAAAATAACTCGGAAACTCGATCTAGAGTCAAAACTGCATCTTTTTCACAGTCGCAGTTTTGTTCAAAATGTTGAAATCTATAAGATTCCTATAAAGGAGAGTCCAAAATCCAACTCTAAGGGGTCCATTTTTCAGTTCAAAGTAACCTGAAATTTTTTTTTCTTCAAACATAGCGTATGAAAACCTAAACTAATCTATGCTTAACATACATACACCATGACATTAATATTAAAGGAACCATAATAAACATCAACATAGACTTATTGCATGCCAAAATCTCAAATCACCGTATCCTTAAACCGACATAACCATAACTTAATCTTGCTTAAGAAAAATAGAAGAGAAAGGATTAGAAATTATACCCTTAAAGACAAAGTTTGGTTTGCCTCCTCCTAGGACTCCTTGGCCACCTTCTTCTTCTTCTAATTTTGGTTTATGATTTGGGATTAGGAGGGATGAAGGAAAATTTGAGAGAGGGGCTTAGGGGAGACCGGTTTATTGTGTAGAAAAAAGGAGAGAAAATGTGTAAAATCGGCCCAAAAATTGGTAATTAGACTAATGGTATCTTATTTATAGACTTTTGATTAATCTCTTCTTAGCCCTTAATTAAGCCTATTGAGCTAACTTTATTAGCAAACTTTTTCGGTTAAACTTGCCAAATTATGGCCGGCCAAATGGAAGAAGGAAGAGATAAAAGAATCTCATGATTATTCGTCACCTACCACCATCAAATCATATACCATCTTATCTTTAACCTCTTCTCCCTAAGATTCGCTTAAGAAGTCAAAATTTATATTGACGGTAGGGGATTAACTTAGCCGTTAAGAATTTAATTTTTTGATAGTTCCTTTTCTATTGCTTAATTGCAGTCCGACACTAATTTTTGAATAATTTAATACCGAACTAAATTCTTAATTGCGTAACATTTTGGACTATTTCAAGTTTTAAAATTATTTCTAGACTAAATAAATTCTAAATTTAACTTATTCTGCATTATATCTCATAAAATGACATTGTTACCGACCATGTTAACTCCCGAGCTCGGATAGCAATTTTTGTCGCATAACTTAGATTTAACTGTTAGGCAATTAAGAATTTTCTCGAGTGTTAAAGCATTTCTCGTCACGCTACTAACATTATATTGTGCTCGAAAATTCTTATAATTAAAATTCTCGAGCCATTCCCATATTGAATTTCCCTCCGCCTTGAATTGTGGTGAGAATTTATTAGCCGGATTACTTGTTCATAAAATGTGAATTTAATGTAAACTTTTCCATAGAATTTTGGAATTTTATTATAAATTCCATAAATTATTCAGTCAAAAAAATATAACGTTACACTCTTATAGGAAAATCCTCGAATTAAATACATAAATTACGTTATTTTATTTTAAGATTTTCTCAGTCATTACACTTTTACTTTAGATTGCATGTTATTGTTATTGTTACCTTTTGGTTTTGGATGACTGTAATATTACAAGTTATATGGACTTTATTTTACTTTGGATTGCATATTGTTGTTGTTACTTTTTAGATGACTATAATATTACTGGTTAATAGTTATAGACTTTTACTTTTGACTACATGTTATTATTGTCTGTAACTTAAGAATGCTAATTATAAAGGATGATACGCATTATGTAACATATAATTTTATTAATTATTAAAAAAAAACACACTAACAGCCCAAGCCACAGTACAACAGTCCAATCTGATCCGATAGCATCTTACAAACGATCTAGTTTGGTCTGGATTTTTTGAAACCGTTAATAATGATCTAATTTAAAAACTTAACGCCAGACAGTGAACAACTCTACCCCTGATTATGCAAGCAAATAAACATTGGAAGAAATCCATATTTAGTCGTTTAATTATCCAATTTAAGTTGTTTCATTCAAATTTATTAAAAGGGGAAAAGAAAGCAAGCCCAGTTTTGAATTAGGGTGAATGGGGAAGTAGTTGGTTTTGGGGAAAACTGAGCCAATAATTTTGGGTAGTGTATAAAAATGGCTAATTCGAACACAAAATTCTGAAAATACCCCCCACTCTTTCTCTTTACATCTTTCTCTCTACCTCTTTAATGGAGATGAGCATATGATGAACAACATTGGGACGTCGCCTTTCGCGAATTAAAATCTCAGACACCGTGTTTGACAATGACACATATCTCCTCGTCCAAAGGAGAGATCGCCACTGGTTTTACAGTGCCCTCATCTAGCGTTCAACAACCCTTAGCCTCGAGAACTTATCAATGACAACATCTCTAAATTCTTTTAATGAAATGACCTTTTTGTAATAATCTTTGAAAATGGATTATTTCTTCAACTGAAAGGGCCTTTAATTTTTATTTAAATTACATGTAAAAAAATGCTAGTAACACTTTTTTTATTATTTTCTGCATTCACTGTTTAACACATAAACTCTATTAGTATATATATTATTATTTAAATAAAAAATGAGATAGTGTGGGCACTTGTTAAACAGTGAATGTAAAGAATAACAAAGAAAGTGACAGAAAAAATAATGTTAGTATTTCTCTTATATGTAATTGCAAATCAAGGAAGACTACCAAAAATAAGCCGAATAGCTATCATGCCAAGTTGGTAGCGGTAATCAACCGCTACCTAGCTGGTGGCAGTACTCTACCGTGATATTGAATGTAGTCTGTTGTTTTACCAAAAGTATCCGGCTATACCATGTGGTTGGAAAATCTTATGGTTAATTTGTTATTCCAACTAGGGTAACAGGATGAAATCTTCATTTGAGTGATTAAAAATATCGTTGTTGAGAGAAGCTATCAATATAATGTGAAATTAAAACTTAAAATGGTAAGAACATCCAACATAGATAGCATTTATATTTAATAGATCTAAAATATATGGCATAAAAAAAAAAACAATCAATTTCTAAGCCATTTTTCTTTTCGACATTATTTCTTAGAAACTTGCAAATAGTTGCAATACAATTTTGAAGCAAATTTCTTGATATTAAAAGCAATGTCAAAATTGCACCAATGTACTGAATGTAATGTGCTAATAATAAAAAATAAAAATAAAAAAAAATAGTTGGAAAGTTCGTTTACATTAATAGGCAATCTTCAAGTTACACCAATGTAATCCAATCAATTTCCTTGATATTACAAAGCAATCTCCAAGTTACACCAAGATTCTAAGTCCAATGTGTGCACAAGAAAATTAGGACTATTATAAAAAAATTTATTGTTTCTTTTTAGAATAGCAATGTCTTAAATTCAGTATTTTTTTTTTGTTTTTTTGTAAAGAATAACAAAAATTCAATCATTTGTATAAGAAAATTTTACATTTTTTATATTCTACATTTTGAGATCATTAATACCATACGTTTTAGAGGCGTTATGCTTTCATACTTTCTAATTGTTACCTTATGCTCAATGCATGCTATAAAATAGAAAATAACCTAATTTTTACATTTTTTCTTTCCATACTACAAAGCCCTATCTTTGTAATTAGGTCAAAAAAGAACTTTTCCTTTGAGTCTAATACAACAACAATGTATGAATCACGGATATTAATTATTATTTTATTTAGTCATTTTTCTCTTTCTTTTCTTGAATACTATATAGTATTTTTACCTCTAGTCCGAAGCTAATAACAGGAAAACCTTTCTATTCTTATATTACAAGTACTAATACAAAAATTATAAAAATTAAATAATTTATAAAGTCCTTACCTTTATACGACGTCGTATGGCTAGGCCTTGGTCCTGTACTCTATTAACAGCAAGTATCTCTCGTCTGTCTCTGTGTTTCCGCTCTCTCGGTTTATTTTTCCATAATAAAGAAAAAGGAGAAGAAATAAGAATGATGGGGATGGATTTTTCGTCGACGAAACTGTGAAAAATCATCATCAAATTCTTCTCACGGATTTTCCAATAGAAGGGTCTTCTTCAATACCTCCATGGATCCCAATTCCCGAGCTTGTTTCTTTCTTCTAAATACAAGGTTCTCGATTAATTTCCCTCTTTCTTATTTCTTGGCAAAACTTTTATTTATTTATTTTTTATTTCAGGATGTTATTATTGTTATCAGGTTCAATGATTGATATTGTTTATTTGGTCCACAAAGCCCTAAAATTTGTGGGGTTTTTATGATTTTTGAGAAATCCCCTTTTATGGGTTTTATTCATTTGCGTAAAGAAAACTTGGGTTATTTTTATTTTCCCCGGATCTTGATATCTTCGAAAACCCACAGAGGATGGTTGTTTTTCAGAAATTCCCTGTTCCCTGTTCTGGGTTTTCATGATTTTTGAACCTAAAGAAACTTGGGTCATTTTTATTTGTCTGAGTTCTTTTTTCTTATTCTATGTGGTGCAGTGGGATTTTGGTTATTGGGAATTTTGGAGAGAAACAATAGTTATTATCAGAGGACCCTTCTGAATTGTCTTTCTCATTCCTTTGCAATTACAATAATGGGGAATATTATGAGGGAAGAAATAATGAGCCTGGATTTGAACCAAGAGCCTTTGAGCCAACCCCAGAATTCAGTTATTGGACAGATCGAGGAATTTGTGATCACACATGGAGTGGTTGAAGAAAGGGTTAGAGAGACAGAGGAGGTTGACTCCGGACCACCAATTGTTCATGTAGGAGCTTTAGCACATGTATCCGCGGATACCCGGAACGAGGGAGGGTTGTTTAGTGGGGATAATAACTCCATTGAAGCTCAAGAAAGAGTGATTGGGGATGGAAAATCAAACAAAATGAATGGTGCCCATTTAATTGCCAAGGCACTTGGGATAGAATCAGATAAGGTTGTGGCTGGATGCCCAGAAAAGGGTGGTTTTTTCGATTGTAATGTCTGCTTTGATATGGCCGTGGAGCCTATACTAACATGTTGTGGTCATTTGTTTTGTTGGCCTTGCTTCTACAACTTGCCTTATGATCACTCGGATGTGAAGGAGTGCCCTGTTTGTGGAGGAGAAGTGACGGATGCGGGTTTGGTTCCAATTTACGGGAATGGTGATGGGAACTGCCCTCGTAAGCCGAAGGACTCAGGATTGTGGACTCCTCCTAGGCCACGGGCTCAGAGGGTTGAGAGCGTGAGGCAGAATCATGCTAATCGAGGGCGGATTGAGGAAAGGATTCTGCGGCTTACTGACATGATTGGAAGGATTGGAGAGAGAACTAGCTCATTGGCTAGCCAGATCCGCACATCTCAGCCATCGCCTTCCAACGAATCGTCTGCCAACCAATACCGCGATGCCGTTAGGATTTCCAGGCTGGTGCTGAGAGCCGCTTCCCTTACTTCCCTTTCGTCAGCGCTGAATTCTGCAGCGGATCCCGAAGAAAGGTTGGCCGATGACCTAGAGGCATATAGCAATGATCATGCGGGAAGAAGCAGCAACAACAATCAACAATCTCTGCATGTTGATGCGTTCGCCGATGCAGCTTCGGTGTTTGCTTCTACTGCCCTAGCAGATAGCGAAAGCTCCGATATTGCAGCTGGAAGTAGCTCCGCATCGCTTCATTCGGTTTTGTCTCTTGGGCTTGACATCAATTCTCCTGTTCCTGGATCAGAAAATCAGACGGCTAATAGAGAAATCGAAGAAACAGAGTTTTCTTCGTCTGCTTCTCGGACAACCCCTGTTGCTCGAAGAGTTCCTGATGATGAAATTCATGGAGTTCAACGTGAAACTAGAAGGAGAAGGTTGAGGTGAAAATTTTGTTCCATGCTTCATGTCATTTTACTATAAGCTTCTTTTCCTTTTGCTTTGATTTTTAGGACTTAGAACTCTTTGCTTCAGAATGGTGATTACCAGTAAAGAGCATACTGTATAGAGGATCCTCAAATATGTTTGGACCACTAATAAGAGCAAATAAAAGCATGTGAAAAAACTGGTTATTTCCATTTTGATATTGGTACATCATGTAAATGCTACTAGTAGCCTGTATTTCTTGTACATTGTTCTTAAATGGTCAGATAAATGCAAATAGTAGCTTTTACACTTTCTAATTGCCAAGTATTTTCCAGGATTTCGTTACTGCATTTGGTTTGGTTTGGTTTGGTTTCTTATCTTTTTTTTCTTTTTCTTTTTTTCCTTTTCTTTTTTTCTTTTTCTTTTTTTCTTTCTTTTGGAGAATGTGAAGTTTTATTGAACAAGAAATGAAGGAAAACAGAACAATGTCCTGGACCAGAGAAAGAAAGCTCAAAATTATATTTTGACGCTCCAATTTTCATCAATACAATAGATTCACACACTCTTTTAGTTGTCATGGAGGAGAATTCTCTGGCAGGGATTGGGGGGAAAAATGAAAAACAAACATACAAAATAAAGTATGGAACTGTTAAATTTTCGTCAAATTTAATTAAACCGTTAGACGTTTCTTAATTTGGTATGATTTGACAGTGCAAAATTGTATTCGTAAGATCTTATATATATCCTATCACATTTCTTTTGTGCACTAACACACAATTCTCTCTCTCGTTTTTTTTTTTTTTTTTTACTTGAATAGAATATAAATTCAAACAGGTACATCACATTAAAAAGCTGAATTAAGGACTATCCAAAAGTTGAGCACTCCTCTGAAACATAAACACTCGAAGCCTTGATAGATTCGATTGGCTACGAATCATGTTCCAACATTTGAGTACTCCAACACCGTCGCAACTTCTTTCATTGTAGGTCACTCCTCTCCATTCAAATCCAAACATCTCCTTGCAAGGTTTGCAACAACCATCATTTATTCTCTTGAGTCCTTCAGAACTTCATTATCAAGTATTTCAAACAAAAGACCCTGCTCCGTTGAATCCATGAAGAATGTTACCAAACTTCTTCCTGTTTTTCATCCTGTTACATGAACCACCTTTTCTCCGGTCAAAAGCTCAACCAGAACAATACCAAAACTATGAACGTCACTCTTTTCGATGCATTGGCTTGAGCGGAAGTATTCTGGATCCAGGTAGCCAATTGTTCCATGTACCATTGTTGTCATCTGAGTTTGGTCTACATAGACCAATCTTGAAGTTCCAAAATCCGCAACGTTTGCTCCATACTTTCCATCTAAGAGTGCGGTTGTCGACTTGATGTCTCGATGAAAAATGGGAATGATGCTGCAGAGTGCAAATAGGATAGAGCTCCCGCAACTTCTATTGCAATTCGCGTGCCATTTCCCATGTTGCTCAAAATTCTTTATTTTGGGTAACAGGCCGAGAAAGGTTTCCAGTAGAATCTAGCGGATTGTGGGGGGGGGGG